TAGTTTGGTCTTGGACAGGATCGGAGAAGTGAAATTTCTCTTTGGCCTTGCTGATGCTGTAGATGATGTAATTGTTTCTTCGTCCGAAGATGCTATAGGTTATATACAAGAAATGATTGATGTTTTCAAGTTAAAATTGAGAATTGGTGATTATCCAGAAGACTCCAACATACCAACTTTGATGCATCAGGTATAAAATATTTGTAATCACACTCTTAGTTTTCCTCTGAATTTATGGTTAAAGTTTACGACCTTAGCATGAATTACAGGTTTTAGAGACTGCAGAATCATTGTTATTATTGTTAGAGAAGCCTACTGGTTCAGTTAAGGTTGAAGATATTACTCCACCTGATGCTTCTTTGATACCGAGTAATATATTAGATTCTCTGAAGCTTTGCCAGTTTTCCGATGACAGCATTGGAAGTGTGGATGACAATCTTCTTTTAGGTATCGGGGACAAGTTTATGTGGGAGTGTCCAGAAATATTACCTGATAGAATGAATGCTCTTCCTGCAAAAAGGAAAATGTCAACATTGGATGGGCAAGCTAGGCGTGCTAGAGGAGAGAACTCCCCAGCTGAGATCTCATCCCAGAACACAYTTGCACGTGGATCTGGGATATCTACTGCCCCTTCACTTCCATCACGTAGAGATACTTTTCGGCAGCGCAAACCAAATACCAGTCGGCCTCCTTCTATGCATGTTGATGATTATGTTGCAAGAGAACGAAATGTTGATGGGGCTATTAATTCTAATGTAATTGCTATTCAGCGAGTAGGGTCTTCTAGTGGGAGACCTCCATCAATACATGTGGATGAGTTTATGGCCAGACAAAGGGAACGCCAGAATCCTGTTGCAGCTGTTGTTGGGGAGGCCGCATCACAAGTGAAGGGTGGTGGGGTTCCTGTAAGTGACACAGATTTGGAGAAAATAAGCAAACCTAAGCAGTTAAAGACTGACCTTGATGATGATCTTCAGGGGATTGATATTGTATTTGATGAAGACTCTGATCCTGATGACAAATTACCCTTCCCTCACCTAGATAATAATCTACAGCAATCTGATTCTGTCTTGGTTGAACAAGGTTCTCCTCGTTCTATTGTTGAAGAGACAGAAAGTAATGGTAATGATACAAGTCAGTTTTCTCCCATATGTGCACCGTCTGCATCTAATGTTGATGAGAATACCCAAAGTGAATTTTCTTCCAGGATGTCTGTTTCACGTCCTGAATTCCCATTGGCTCGTGAATCTAGTGTGTCCTCTGGGAAGAAGTATTTTGAGCATCCTGAAGATGGAAAGAATGCTATTCCAGTTAGAAGTACAGGTGGGGTTGATACTTCAGCTACAGTTAACTCTGCCTACAACAATGCAATTACGCCACCTTCAAAGTTACTGGCTGAGCCTAGGGCAAGTACACAGAATTACTTCCACAAAAATAGTCCTCAGAATCTTGGCAGTGGACCACTATCGATAGGATCTCAAGGATTCTATGAGCAGAGGTTTTTTCCAACTCAACCACCTCTACCTCCAGTGCCTCCACCTCCAACAGTTGCACCTGTAATATCTCAACCATCTGATCTGGTTGCCAGTCAATCTTCCCCATTTGCGAACTTTGCATCTGATACTCAACAACGATTTTCTTCGACCTTCCATGTAAGGAAAGAATGTGCTTATTAGATCTTCTGTAGCATATTTATCTGCTGGTTGCCATTGTCTTCAATTTATTTCTTCATGTTGCTTTTGCAGGTCCCATCGGATTATCCGTCTGGATACAATAGTTCTGCATCATTTCCCAGTGGATCTGTTCGGCCACCTCCACCTCTTCCTCCAACGCCGCCACCTCTTTCATCCAGCCCTCTTAATTTATCATCGAGTAAATCTTCTATTCCAAGCACTCCAGTTTACAACCTGGAAAGTGTTGGGATGACTGAAATTCCTCAGAACCCTACTGCAACTTCAACTGATRCGCGTTTAGGTGGTGTATCTGCTTCTGGGGTCATACTAGCTTCTAACCCTCTACCTGCACTTCCACACTTGATATTTAGTAGGCCTTCAATGCCTGTAAATCTCTATGGGGGCATTTCAACTCAGCAACAGAGTGAAAACTCGTCAAGCATCTTGCCAAATCTAGCTATTCCTCCATCTTCCATGCCTTCAATACATTCTCTTCCTCAGTTACAGCCCCTGCAACCTCCACAGCTTCCTCGTCCTCCTCAGCCACCCCCTCAGCATCTTAGGCCACCCATTATAGCTTCACAACAATCAGAACAGGTAGCATCAATGCAAAATCCGGTTCAAATGCAAATGCATCAATTGCAAATACTACAACAGCCCCGAGTTTCTCCTCAGTACTACCAGTCACAACCAGTAGGAATGTCACATGCACTGCCACAGCAACAATTCGAACATCCTCAACATCAAGCTGTGCATCAGCCTGGGGATGCTGCAACCACATCCCAGCAACAGCAGGATTCAGCAATGTCATTGCACGAGTACTTCAAGTCTCCAGAAGCTATTCAGGTAAGTATTTTTGTTACTTCTCATCAAGACTATTTTACTGTGTTCTCTCTGTTCCATTGTAATTGATGGGCTTTTCTTTTTTCAATGCAGTCATTGTTGAGTGACCGGGAAAAACTGTGTCAGCTTCTGGAACAGCACCCAAAGTTGATGCAGATGCTTCAGGTAATTTTGTGCCCCATTCTTCAAAATTCTAGGTTGAACAAATGTTTGTTATTGGTGTGCAAAAACATTTGGAGAAAGTTAACAACAGCACGTGTGGTATCTATCATTTGTTCCCTTCATGTATTTATGTGGTTGTTTCTGAGATGTTATAGTGGCTGTGCTAGACTATAGAGARAGWWAATTACGGAGAGGTAAATTTCTACTAGGTGATTCTGATGACTAAATCTTTGATTATTTTCTTGTTACAGGAGAGACTGGGTCAACGATAGTAACACAAGCATGTAGAATAGAGGGACAGACTTCTCTTTTATACTTCGTAGCATAGCGGCTGCAGTCCCTGTTTCAAAGAACAGCCTGTAACATAAGTTTTGTAGTAAATAGAAATTATGCATTATATGTTAATCTTGTAATGTAACTATAAACAGTTCTTTTGTTTAGTTCATGAAATTTACATTAGTTTCGTTTCATACTTAGTTTCACAATAGTCGAGAGAAGTTCCTATTTGTAAATATGGCCAAGTCAACGTTACCGAGCTATTCTCGCTGTTTGGAAGCGTTCTAAAACATAGCTTTGTATGGTTTGTTTTGTTTTTTTCTTTCTTTGACATATTGCATGTCTTGTTTTTTGTTTCTAAAAGTTGCCTTAAAAGAAAGAAAAAAAATCTCTCTTATGGTTTGTTTTTATATATTGTTATAAATAAATGGCTTGGAATAGTGATCTCAAGCATGCAACTACTATAATCTTTACAAATAATTTGGAAGCTTTACTTCGAAATTATTTTCAAGGGGGAAAAGTTTTACTTCAAATTGCTACTAAAAGTAAACGATCGTAAAATTGTCTCAGTTTATCAAGTGCATTCCTTTAGATCATAGGCTCGCTTGATATTATTATTATTATTATTATTTTGTAAAATATTGGTGGTTATTATTAGAAAGGTTTTCCATGTCGATGTCGATGAAAATATAGCTCTTAATTTTGAGGAAATGTTAATATTGATGGATATTTTTTGAACAATTATAAAAAATAAAAAAAATTTATGGAAAATATTTAAATTAAAAAATTATCATTTCACCATTTACGAAAAAGTAATTACTTCAAATAATTAATTTTGTGTTTACATTAGCAGTATTTGTTGTATTTTTTTGTATCTTGAGAATTATCGAGTCACCTTAAAATGATGTAAACTCATGGACATGGTAATCTCTAACTCTTTCATACTAAAATTCACAAACTTAAACTTATGGCTGGGTTTGTCTTTTTCTCCTCCATATAGAATTTTATAAGAGTGATATTTAAGGATGCCACATCTGGCATGAATCTGGATAAAAAATTTTGGAACTTTTGTTTACTGTAGTGAAGAAGAAATTTAAATATTTTATCAAATGATGCATTTAACTCGAAACAAGATTCATAATGCATTTGTCAAAGKGAATATAGCTCACCGGTAATTGATATATAACTCAAACCATTAAAGTTGTGAGTTGGAAAGATTCATAATGCATTTTATACTGTTTTGAATGTTGAATTTTTGGCAATTTGGTAGCCTCCAAGTGGACAATTTTTTTCCCCCCTCTTTTTGTCATCCTTTTGCAGTGGTCAATGTGGCAGAATATTATTGGACGCACGAACAGAAATTGAATATTAATAAAGTCTGCATTTTACGTGATCCAAGAAGCCCATGATCCAAGAGATCCTTTCTTTGGTTTCGTACGTTATAGAGAGAGATTCCCAACCAATGCCCCTTCTCTCACTAGCATTTTTCAATCCCTTTCTTCGCCCTTTTCGAGAAAAAGCTCAGCTCGATATCAATACGTATGAACTCGTACTTACTTTATGCTCTATTTAAAAACTGGCTCTACAACGAGAAAATTTGTTCATAGTTATTGTTAAGAAATTAAATGTTAGAGAAATTTGAATGTCTGTCTAAGATTGGTCCTTCATGATAACATCAAATAACAAAAAAAAGAAGAAGAAGAAAGAGATATATGCCAATTACTACTGAACTATACTTAACTTAAAATTTTTAAATTTATTAATGATTTAGTGCAAATTAATATAATATATAATTTTCCATCTCTTACCCTACAAAAATCTACTTTGTGTTAACAGATCTAAGCTTAAATATTGTAATGAAGATTCTCTTTTTAAAATTTTAGTTAATGAATTTTATTTTAAAAGTTTGAGATACACTAAATATAGTTAGTTTAAATATTCGCTAATTTATCGACTTAATTTTTAGTTTTAAAGGGTGATTTACCCTTACGAAGTAGTTGTAGCAAGTTGGGCAAATGCAAAATTTTAGAAGAGTATAATTGCAAATTGCACCTCCTTTTGTGATTATCTACATATATTAAATTCGTTTTTTCTTCTCCTTTTCCTGTCACTTTTTCTATTTCTTCCAATATTATATTGCAAATAAGCAAATGAACACAATATTATTATTTGAACCTAATCTATAATAAAGAAGTATGTTAGGACTAACTTAACCAACCATTTAAATYGGAGTAAAATCTGATAGAACCAAATTTATAAAAAGAGACCTTATAAAAACTTATAATATACCTGAGCTACTTCTTTCTTTCATTGTTAATTGATTTTGAGATGAACCTATATATCTTGATATGATATTAGAGTCCGACAAGTTCAAACAAGCATCTGGTCTAAAAATAGGAGTTGAACCATGAATCTTGATAATATAAAAACCATGTTTACTAAAGTATATGATTTACAGATACCATAATTGAAAAAAGTTGCAAACTTTACAGCAAAATTTTCTAAACATCATCGTCTCAAGGATTGGACAACCTTATTTACATATTTTGTATGGTACAAATTTGCAATTCTAAAAAACGCGTAATACTCCATTCCATTATAAAAGTCGACAGTAATACAAAAGGTTAGACTCATGCATTTCTCTTTCGAATTCTGAATACGATGCTAGTAGCAATAATATAATCATGGTAGTTCACATTTGTTGCATATTTTGATGAGGTGTGAAAAAATAGAGATGATTTGCAGATACCATAATTAAAAAAAGTTGCAAACTTTAGGAAATAATTTTGTAGACATCTCAAAGGGATTGGATTTGGAAGACCCAATTCCTCCAAAACCCCATGTGGCCCTTCTCTTGATAACATATATATAAGCAAACCCTAAACTTAGCTTCTCGAGGCCTTTGCTTCCCAATTCACCCTCATACCCACCAATCCCCTCTTGCCACGTCACCCCAACACCGACACCTCGTATTAGCCTTCGGATCAGTGGCATAATTAAACACACATCTTCCTAAAAGGCCCCTCTCTTCTACTCTTCTTCCTCTTCTCCAAAACCCCACCAAAAAAATTCTTCTTTTAGAGATCAGAATTACAGAGAGATCAAAATCTTGTCATAAAATGCCAATTCCCCATCTGGGTCTTCTCCTAAACCAAAATCCCCATTGAAAAAAAGAGAGAAATGGAGAGGGGATGGAAACCAATGGTGGAAATCTCACCAAATTGTCCAAGGTGTGGCTCTTCCAACACCAAGTTTTGTTATTACAACAACTATAGCCTCACCCAACCCCGCTACTTCTGCAAGGGCTGCCGCCGGTATTGGACCAAAGGCGGCTCCCTCCGCAAYGTCCCCGTCGGCGGTGGCTGCCGCAAGAACCGACGCCCTGCCAAGCCCTTAACCCTAACCCGATCCCTTCCCAACCCTAAATTTCACTCCAGCGATAACGATAAGTACTGCCTCCACCACCACGGCCGCCTCCCCGACCAAGACGGGTCGCCCGACATCGACTTGGCGGTCGTCTATGCCAACTTTGTGAGCCAGAAACCGGACGCGCCGGTAACTTTTCCGGCGACCAATACCGCAGCCGGTAACTATCCGGTTTCTTGTGAGAGTGGTGTGGTGGGATGTGGCAGTAGTTTTTGTGAGTTTCCCATGCAGGAGTGTGGGTTGGGGGCCGGTGATTATCAGGTGGCCGGTTGCTTTGGGTTACAGGAGAAGAATGAAGCGGCGGCGGCGCGTGAGCTTCAATTGCCGCCGCTGCCGGGCGAGGAGATGGGAGGGTGGTCAAGCTCTATGATAATGGTGAATAATAATCATCGTCTACAATCAACAACATTTGAAATGGATACTCAAGACCCAAATTTGATTAGTGGTAATTGGAGCCCTATTGATTTGTCAACTTATGATACTTTCTCAAGGGCTTAACAAATTTATATACATATAATATGTGCTATTTTTTTTTCTTTATAAAGTATTTTGTGTATGAACTTCATATATATATGTGTGTGTTTTGTGTTTTRTTGTACTTTGTTCATATATACACAAAAGATTACATTGGAATGAAGGTAAAAACATAATTTGAAGTTTGTTTTTCCGCCTCTTATGTCTCACTTTTACTATGTAATAAATATTTATTGTAACTATTGATTAATATTGTTTCTTATCGATTTCGTTACTAAAACAAATCAAATAAGAATGACTATCTAGCAAACTTGGATTGATTTATCTACCATATGTGGATTTTATCGTAGTCTTTTGATTATATATATCATTCTTAATTCGTAAGGATTGATATTCCATCTAAACCCACAATCTAAAACTAATTACGAGCGATGACTTTGAAACTCTCTAGTTCGGTACATAATACAACCATATATCTTGTAATTTATAAATAGCCTTTTAAAGAACATTTTTAGATCTAACATACATCGATTATTTTGGTTTATACTTCTTGTTGAATGCCTCTCCTACCATCATTATTTTTGTTGTATTGTGTAACGCCTCCAACAATTATTTTGGTTGTCTTGTGGGCATTGTACTAGACAAATTGTACAAATGTTTCTACTAGTATATAAAAAAAATGTGGTGCTAGTAGAAGAAACTTGAATATAACCCATGYTCTCTTTTGGCATCTCCACTTAAGTATGGGACATTTCTTGTTTTAGTGCATGTCCCCAAGTTGAGCAATGGTGAGACAGAAAAATATCTCTTATGATCTTTATGTTAGCCCAAAAATAAAAATAGAATAATCACATATGACCTAAAAGTCTTTTTTTTTTAAATATATTCGTGAGTGTTCAGGCCAGYATATGCGCACCTCGACTATTTTCACGAGGCAATCGTCTAACCCTATAATATTTGGTGTCGGGAAATATATAGGAATTACGAATTTCTAAGGTAGGTGGACCATCATGGGATTGAACCTATTCCCTCTTAATTAATCCTAGCCCCTTTGGACCAATGAGTCACCCATGATGGTTACATATAACCTAAAGTCTTGTGCATGAATAAATTTATAAGATCAAGAACATATAAGAATTCATCTGGATTTTTAGATTCTATACTTACTATATAGTTTCAGATCATGTGAACAGTAATTAAAAAAAATGGACTTATAATTTCTCAACAAAACATTCTAACAATCCTGAATAGGCATCCCTCTCTCGACTACAGAGAATAGAGAGATTATGAGAATTTTAAGGCATGTTTGTTGACGTTTTCATTTTTCGTTTTAGGTTTCTTCTTTTTAATAAAGAAAAACAAAACTGAATTCGATAAATATTTATTGTTGAGGTCCCACGTTAAGAAGATAAAAAGATCTAACAAAGATTTATAATATACATGTGCTACTCCTATTGCCAATTTGTTGAGATGAAACTCTATATATCTTGATATGATATTAGTGTCTAATAAATTCAAACGAGCATCCGGTCTATTGGCTTTGAGATGTAACCTCATGAATCTTGATACTTATTTATTTATTGGAAAAAAGAAATAGAAATGTGTTTAATAATGATTTTTTATTTATTGTTATTTAAAAAGTAAGAGTTTTAAAAATTTCTACACAATTTTAGAAATGTTTCTTAAAAACMAGAGACAAGAATATTAAATAATTGTCAAACGATTATGTTTCTCAAAATTTAAAAATGAAAAACAAGAAATAAGGAAGAAGAGACCGTTATCAAACCGGACCAAATTATTCAATACACATGAAGATGTAATTCTATTAGTCTATTTATGATACGATTTATTATGCTGATCAGATAACATTAGTAAGAATATTGTAGTATGAAATGAGATGTTATTAATATGATAAGTATGGTTTGGTTATTATTAAGTTAAATATTTAATTTTGGGTTAATTAATTTTTATTTAATTCGTCAATTAGTATTTTAGAATTATTAGTTATTTTGCCTATTTTATTTTAAGACTATCATGTCCCGCGGGCGATGGTGCAGCGGCAAGGATTTAGAGCCCCTCCCCCATCACCTACGATGACAGGAGATCTTGTTATTTTCTCATGAAATATATACAAAAATGTATGATTTTCATCTAGTCCATTGGATTCACTACAATATTAAGTTCTCTTCTACTTGCAACTTGTTAAGATTGATCTTCAATTTTTGCTACTTTTCAAAATGGAATAAGAAAACCTAAACCCTTTGAAAAGTGAAGAGTGCTAAGGCCTTTGAATTTATGCCACTWTTTTTGGACCACAAGTCAATTAAAAGTAGTTCAAAATTGTAATGCTGATCTCTATGTCCATTTCATGGAATTAATAATTTTGGTTTTTGTTAGATGATTCTCCCAAGGTTTTAAGTTGGCAAGACTTATATATATATATATATATATATATATTTGTGGACTTTTCAATCATAAATGAGGCTAAAGAGAGAGAGGAACTTTCCTACCTCATTTGATATACTTTTCTTTTTCATTCATTTTTCTAAAGAATACTATGATATATATATTCTTTGATATTGATAACATTTAAGAGAGAATGGATTCTCATTTAATATCAATATATGGCAAACTAAATATTTGGTGATTGATGTTTGAGTGATTTTATTTGGTCTCCTTCACCTTTAAAATTTGACAATAATCTAGTTCTAATCAGTTTTAGAAATGATTCTAAATGATTCTTATGTTATATTATTGACCAATCATCGGGTTCGGYACAGTAAATTGTTCTAGATTTCATTAAGGACTGTTTATTCTCAAGACCATTTATGTCCCAAAGGGATAGCTTGGRTGGTTTCGGATTTCAAGAAATATCCTTGAGGTCTTGGATTCAAATTACAAGGAATGCAACGATATCTATACCCTCCCGATATAGGGGGGAAAAGACCTAATTTACCCTATATATATTATTTCTAATCTATATATATCCAAAACAAGATTAGTGACTTTTTCTTTTTCTTTTTTCTTATTCTAACTTATAATTTCAATTCATTTATTTGTTATAATATAATGAGTTAAAAGAATGTAAATTTTTTATTTTTTTAGTTCACTTTATAATTCTCAAGGCTTGGAAACGAATTTTTTATTTAACAGATAATATATAAGATGAATAGAATAATTCCAATTAAATAGTCAATATTAATATATTTATTGCTCTATCTCGAAACTTTTCTAGAATTTTGCTCCTTTCTTTTTCTCATTATTCTTTATGGGTTGGTTTTTCTTGAGTAAACAGAGGGCTCTATATATATATTTATTATATTTGAGTAATAAAATATATAGGTTTAAAAAGATATTTATCCATATACATTCATTAAACAGCTATTTACTCATCGAACTTAGATTATATATCGAGTTAGTTATCCTCTTTCAAATCGGTAAAAATTTAATTCCTAAACGTAGAAATGTGCTTTGGTGCAATGAGCTCTGCTCTATCCTTTGGTTTATCTAACTTGAAGAAATAACCGTCTTTTCTCAGATAAATATAGATCTATAGGCACTCTGTAGGATGATATTAACACGGCTACTTCCTCTTGGTCCACTAAATCGACATTCTTTTGTAATTATGATATCTCCACCCTCTCATTAAATTAGAGCTCTTTTATTTAGCCTTTCCTTATTGTATGTTTCTCACATACCTTTTGAATGAAATGGTATGATGTTTTCTCTTTCAAAAAGAAATTCCTAACTATAATATATAACAATTCAATCAATGTAGTTTAAAGCTTGTCAACAATTTAATTCCTATCTTACGRGAAAARTATTGTTAAGCTTTAATAGGATTTCTTATATATATACATATCGAATGGGATTTTTTCACTATTAAAGACTAAATTGTTACCTGCTAAAGTTTAAGACAAAATTATTATCAATTTAAAAATAAAAGAATTAAATTATTACAAATGGAAGTTTTGAGAATAAATTGTAGCTTTAATATAATGAAAGTACACAAGAAGTTTTTTTTAACCTAAAATATACATTGAATTTTTTTTTTAATCACTTTTTTAAATGAAGTCTTTGTTTCAGCCACAAAGGTTGCAGAATCCTTTTGACACAATGAATCCTCACTTGAAAATTTTCCACAATCATGAGAATGCCAAAGCATTGAAATTCCATCTCTGTCCATTTGTGCAAATGAGTAGAATTTCCATCTATACATGTTGACTTTAAAAGTTTGTATTTATTAATTAGTTAGATGAAAATCGTAAAATATCCCATATATGAATATTTAATTCATCAACTTTGTAGTTTATTCATCTTTAATTAACATGGTGTTGTGGAAGCGAGAGGTCCTATATATTCGAACCCCTGTTTTATTGGGTTACAACAACATTTAAGAAGGATAAAAGACGATACACCGACATTTTAAACTTATTTTGATTGAATTATTGGATTTTGCTGGATTGTTTTGGTCAATGAAAATGGCTAAATGTTACAGAAAATTTCATGAGCCAACAAAAATTTTCAGAGTTGAATGAATGCTAAAAATTGAAAATGATGAAAGATGGTGAGACGTTGATAAAATCAATGGCCAACAACTCTCCACGCAAGCCCTATATTTGCCACTAATTATTCGTGGCTGTTATTTCAAGTATTAGTGAAAACTAAAAATAATTCAAATTTATTAATTTTGGAAACTTAGGCCACATACTAGATAGGCTATTTTTGTTCATTTACTTATGTTTAATTTAATAAATATATAGACTTTTGTTAAATGTCTTAACCAATTTGAATTACGGATTGGAAGTATAGGATTGAATTAATATATRTGTGAAATAATTAAATGTGAATAGTCCCACCATATTTTATGAAGTTGATCTTGGGATACTAATTCAGTCAAACAATATCATCCCTGTGTTACTCTCTTTAAATAAAAGTCAACATAATGCATATATTAATTTAACCTAAGGTAGGTTTTTATTTATTTTATTTTATATATTTATTCAAAGTTGAACAACATATT